CTGAACAGTAGCACTAGTTGAATGCTAGCACTCAGTGCTGCGTGCCATATAAATGCGCAGAGAAAAAAAAAAAAAAAAAGGACTGGAATATTTGCAAATGGATCAGAAAATCTTTCCTTCCTTCTTTATCTTATATATGTGACTTGGCAGGTTATAGTTATTCTTGATTTATTCACAGCACTGCCAAAGAGGCTGTCTAAAAATTATTGAAAACAGACAAAGGCCAACAGACTACTCCGACTTCATCTTCAATTCAATTCAAATAGCTCAGAGGCACAATGTGGGGAATTCAGAAATGATTTTGCCTAAAATGTGCTAAAATTATTTAGTTGTGCTTTTTGCTTTAGTGTGCAAATTTCAACAAAATGTGAGCATTTCATGCAAAAAATTGGTCTAGTTCTTATATAACATTGTCCACTCAAATCTCCTTGTTCTTCACAGAGTTTTCAAATCTCAGTGCTCTTGTTTTGCCAGCAAGGCCAGAGCTCAGCTCCTATCCCCGAGTGGCTCAGCACTCGAGATAAAGAGGCATTTCTTCTCATGCTGCAAAGTTGTTCCTTGCAAGCACTAAGAACTTTACCCAAACACTAAACCACGAGTGATCTGCTGGGTTTTCTGGACTCTGCTTTTCTGTTACGGCTAACACATCCATTGATTTATTATCCCATCTCTGCAACTTTCTTCCGTCATCAATAGCCCAAATCTGTCACTGGCACAAATGGCCAAAACTCCAGCTAATTTAATTAGAATGATACTCAAGCCATATCTGTTTTAAATTCATCCTCTATTTTTTCATAAATATCAGTATCTTAGTGAAAATCACGTGCAATATTGGTGTCATGGAGACAGGCCTTGGCATGGCTTTTTAACCTTGTTTTATTCCGCTTTTATTCTTCCAAACATGGGGAACTTGACAATAAAAGCTAAGTACAGTATCAAGGTCCTTGTTATTGCTACACTACATTAGAAGTAGATATATGAGCTTATGAAGATTAATTTAGATCTCATTGTGGAGTCCATGGTTTTCTGTGCAAGTTTATCTATAAATCCTCTGCAGCCTTGTCAATGGTTCATCTCGAATAATTGTGACTTTCCAGAGCTAAGCACAGAAAACTCAGGGAAATTTTGGAGCCGAGTTCAGGTCACTTCTGTTAATTAACTTTAAAAGAAAAGCACAATTTTATTTTTGTTGGTGATTCGTCACCTGACTATGCTGAACTAAGGTCCTTACTGCCATAGGAAGTGAAATTAACATTAAAAGCCATGAGGATAGACTTTAGCCTTAACTCTTTCATGCAGCACAATACTGGCAACTGTAAAGGAAAATCTTCAGGATGGTTTGTCACAGCCAGTTGTGCAGGTAATAGGTTTGTCGTGAGAGTGATAATACCTAGAGATGTAGTTTCCTTTTTTTATGCTTAATTTCAGAAATGCACTGATTTGATCTATATAAATTCAGTTGAAAGAGAAGCAGATTGTAAGAGCTCCTGCTTTCTGGAAGGCAGCAGGTGCTGAACCTTCTCAGGACTTCACAGCATATGGCCTTATCCTCAGTCCTTGCTTGTATCTGGTTTTCCTTCTCAGACGAGTACGAATATGCCTTGACTGCATAGGCAACAGCAAACAGATATGCCTTGCAGAGTTTGTAAGCACTGGGATCCCCAGTATTACATGGCTCCTTTCTGAGGGTTTAGGGTTTTCTATGAGATTTAGAGCTGAAGGTTTTGAATTTAAAAGGATTTCTGTAGGCTCTGAGGTTTTTAGCTGAATTTCCTCTCTCACTATGATCACACTGGCTCATTTAAGGACTATACCTGGCCCCTAATCAGATATTGAGTGAAATTCTTCTCTCTGTTAATCCAGATGAACAGTTCTAGAGCTGGAGGAATTTTTCTAGGTTCACTCCACTGTTCTATGAATTAAAACTTAGTCTGCTGTGCAACTGTATCTCTGGGTGACAAAGCTGAACAGCATTACTTTAATGGCTCCTACAGTGACATAAGCAGTGCTGACACTGCCTTGGAGCAGAGGCTGGGCTAGTGACCTCCCTAATCCCAACATATTTTTTATGAATCTGTAATTTCACACCCTGCAGATATAAATATGTAAAGTAAAAAGTGGTGTGAGCACACCATAAATTTCCTAACCCACAAATATGTCATCTAGATTCAGTGGCTCATTAGGAACACAATTACTGCTCAGACATTCCAACTGTCTTTGCATTTCCGCTCTCCTTTTGATAACTCCTTGAACAATAGCATACTGCAGGGCAGCGCAGCCTGCTGTGTTATATACAAACCAGCTTTCGCTGAGTTTCCTAACTTACTCAATTTAGACTCTGTTGAGGATTTGCCAGATGAGGAATACCCATAGAGTACATCTGATATAAAATAAGTTTCCAGTTTCCTTAGCTTGCAGACTAATGAATTTAACACATGCATATTTTTCTTGCTGAATTAAATTTATCAGAAAGGCTCTATTTCATGTCACTGAAATGAAGAGGTTTGTCCTTTTTTTTGGCATGCACTGCAATTTACATGCACAATAAGTATCCTAGAAAGGAAACTGCTATCAAAAAAAATCTATCATAAACAGATTAACTGAGGTAGCTGGAGAGGGAACATTAATAAGCATCGCTGTTTAATTATTATTAAATCTGTAGCATAAACAATGACCCCATTTCATTAGCAATAAGTGGTGCATCAGGCAGGCCGAACTATGGAAAGATCTCTTGGCCCTCATTCCTAGGAGGTTTGTGTTAGTTTCCCCAGTTAACTTGCAGTTGTACACAGGAAAGGAAAAACCTAAGCTTCTGCAGTGAACCTGGCAGTGTCAGGGAACAACATTCAGCACATACACAGCACTGTTTAATTAATGTTTCGCCCTTCCTGTCGGAGCTGGCTTCTGGTGGAGATGGCACTATGGGCTGGACACTCTCCTTTCTTATGCCACGGTAAGAACTGGAGGGGAGAAATCAGCCCAGAGAGCAAAGAGAGACCTTTCCCACTCGCAGCGCTAAGCAGATGGGGCATGAACGTGAGCGCAGCTGACACAGCGGTAGCCAAGGCTGTGCAGCAACTCCTGGGAACAGCTCACTTGTCGAAAGGGTCAGTCCTGAAGATTGTGGGGCTCCAAAATAGACTCTAATCTCAGGCACCCCACAACTTCCTCCAAGCTGATGCCTCCATGGCTTCTTCTGTCAAGAGGCAGCAGAAGAGCACGGGTTTGAGTAGGAATGTGTGAAGCAAGCTCGGCGCTGAAAGGCCAGAAAGTGAAGCAGGGCTTTACGAAGTGTCAAGGTCGATGATATACAAGATCCAAAGGGTGTGATGCTCCTCTGAGTGAGAGGAAGTGGGGCAAAAAGAATGTGAAGTGTTTTTTAAGCATCCTCACCCTTCCTTAGTCTGATTTTTGGAATGGAGGAACACCTGCTCTCACTAAAACACTCAGAGCAGACTGAGATGTGGAACCTTTCCCAGGAGAAAGTGATTAATGTTTGCTTATGTGTCCTGGGCTTTCTGGATGTGAATAGCTGCTCAGTGAATAAAAAGAAAGTTTGCCAGTTAGTTATAACGTCACATGTGATTTCTCCACGTACAAACTCCGATGGATTTTGGTTCAGTAGTCCATACCTTAACAAATTTCAGATTTTAAAATTAGATTGTTATTACATATTAGGCTTTTTTAAAAAACATGAAAAAAGTTTCCATTTTTTCTACTTCCCCCCCCCTTTTCTCTGATTGTTTTTAATGGATTCTATTGCAAGAGTTTCTCAGAAAACACCATCAAGAAATCCCAAAGAGATTAAGGTTTCAGTAGAGGCAACCAGAATTCTTCTTGGTTTAAATACAGAAGCATTACTGAAAAGCAGATATTCCTTAGAGTTCCTTTTTAAAAAAAAAAAAAAAAATTTGAAGAGAGATATTTGATTAAAAAAATAATCTATTGGAGGGGGAGAGGATATTAAAATTTTGTCTGACTTACAGGTAAAGATGTGGTTGGAATGTGGAGGTAAGAGCAATACATTTCAGATTTTACTAGGGAAGGACTCTCATCCATTACAGGCTTTCGTGGACATTCTTCAAACTGCAATTCC